CTCGCTCCTTTCCGTTACCCTCTCTCCTTCTCAAGAGTTGTATACTCGTCGAGGAACACTAGTGGCTTTTGCTGGGGATCCCAGTGGAACAATCTCGACCTTGGGAATTCTCAACCCCGTCCGCCGTGCCCTGGTCGGGATACCTTTCTTGTATCAAAAGATCACCTCGACATCCCCCGCCAATGCTCTGATTGCAACGAGGTCGCCAATGACCACCTTCGCCATTCTGCAGCTGGATGGTACGATGGATTGGAAGCTGGCGCAGAGAAAAGCGCTGCTGGCGTGGACTGGCAGCACGCTCTCCGTCAAGCCGAGTATAAACACGAGGTTTTCTCTCGCATACTGGGGAAGCTCCAACGTCACTGGGAGGGGACTGCTAGCGCTTGCAGGACAGGGCCAAGTTTATTCGGTTGAACTTGCAGAAGGAGAGACATACATTGTTCATCCCTCGAACATACTCGCTTACAGCTCATCATCACCATCTCCGGCACCTCTACCCTTCCGATTCAAGTCTTCAAGTGCTCGATTCCAAATCCCTCTCCAGCTCGGGAATTTCTTTCCCTCCTCGAAATTTGTCGCGACCTTGAAAACCAGCAGCACGTACAAATTCTTTGCGAATCTGCTTTACCGAGTTCGAACATGGAGCCGAAGAACCCTTTGGGGAGACCGGCTGTTTCTACAGTTTAGTGGCCCAACAACTATTCTGATCCAAAGCCGAGCTGCGAGGGTTAATGATGTCCTCACGACACAGGAGGTGAACGAGATTGCGGACACCCCTGCAGGCGCTGTTGAGGAGGCTATCTCCAATGTCCGCTCAACAGACCCCGAACTGTCCAAGCCAGGTTCTGCTGTGCCTGTGTCCCCGGCGCCATCGTCGCCGAGACTATCAGTGGCGAGTGTCGGCCACGATGGCAAGGTTACTTTTGGTAGCGCTCAGAAATCCGATGAGAAACAGGGATAGAGCGGAACAAGGTCTGTCGAGGACACCATGTATAATACAATCCTGTGATACCAATTCTGAGGCTCTCCCTTATGTGCTCAATCCCCCTTCTAGCGGTCCTTCGATTACCGTATCCAGAGACTCTTGGGGATCTATGTTTCGAACAAATCGAAATCCTTGCCCTTTGGGGAATCTCTAGCCTAGATGCCCATGAGAATATTTCCGACGCTGTCTGTTCTGGAGGCCACGGACTATCTATCTGAACGTGAATGAACCTCCACGATTCAAGTCCAACGAGGCACTAAAGCTATCTAGCATTGGCGATCAGCCGGTCAGCCGATCAGCGAATACCTGGTTCGTGTGGATGTATATTCTATCAAGTCTGTCCGACGACAATCCAGAGGGACAAGACACAAGACACGAGGGACGGAAGCTGTGGATCTGATGTCCTACTTGAGCCTATCGTACCTGAGTATCCTATCCTATCCTTTCTTCTCCTGTCCTTTCCTTACCTATCCCCAGATCTGGTATCGATCAGTTCTTGCGGTCTACCAAAACAAGGTAGTGAGTGGGGTTCCCTCGTTCAATTTGACGTTTGATATGCTACGATGATTTCGCTCCGTATTCAGTGTTCAGTGTTCATCATAACCCCCTCAGAAGCTTCATCGTGTTGTTGAGAAGTGAAAATGACGCTCAGCTGCGTTCTCACAGGTCATGACATGCATGCATGCATGCATGCCCCAGCGAAGAAAGAGAAAGATGTCAAAGTGATGGTGGTGTTGGATGCCCTGCAGACCCTCATCTCCTTCATGTTCGCCAATGACTGAAGCTCATTCATTTCCTCTCCCATGATCCATCAAGCCCAGGTCTCGTCTGTCCTCTATGTTGGTCTTGAGCCATGCACATAGTCTCAGCACTCCTGATGGTTTGGGACAACGAGTCCAACCCCCCCATTGTCATACTGTCACATTTTCGACGAGTTTCCCACTTGTCAAAACGCCGAGCACCGAGCACCGAGCACCGAAGATCTCTGCCGCATCCCTTTCACTGTCCCTTTCGATCACCCGACACAGTTGGCCTGATCTACCATTGATTGTCAGACTGTCCAGGGCCTCCCTCCCAGGCAAGTCTCGCACCGTTGCTGCCCACAGCTACTAATCCGCCCAATGCGCAATGACATGATCGACGAGCTGGCTCTTCCAGTCCGGCATGGACAGCTCCCCCGCGAGGACCCACGACTTCAAGATGGCGAGGACTGCGTCGTCGGACTGCGAAAAGTCCACCCGGCCGGTGTAGATGTAGGCCAGGAAGTGGCCGATCATGTCCCTGCTGTCGTGTGGAAACTCTAGCTCCTCAGTTACCGGCTTGTTCTCCCCTTCCTCCTCCTTCTGCAGAGGCGGCCGCAGCGGTCCGGACTCGAGCTGTCTGGCGAAGAAAGGGCATTTGGTAACGAGGATGTGTCTGTGGACGAAAAACTTTTCCTCGCCCGCCGTGAGTGTCACCAGCGGGGAGTCGATGAATCTGTCGACTCAGTCAGTCAGCACCGCGCCCGGTCGGTCAGTCACTTGGGTTTCCCTGATCGGCCAGATAGAGAGAATTGGGTTGGATCATAACTAACCCTCTCCCAAGAATAGCGCTATTGGGCTCTGGACTCTGCTCGTGAGATTCATTCGTGCGTGACATGATGGCCGATGGAGAGACAACACGAGGAAAGGTACTTGGGAGGAGAAGTGAGGCGAGGTGAGGGACTTCTGTCTAATCTCAGTTACAGCAAAATTTCCCCCTTGTTGGAATGGGCACCGCCTCAAGAGCTTGGAAGGATGAGAGAGATGGAAACAAGTGAAGGTGAGGGAAGGCTTGGAAGATACCAGGGTCAGTATATCACCAAAAGGTGTAATTCTTGTTTGAGAATGAAATTGTGATGAAAGAGAGATCGGGTCATTGCCCGCGCCTCTTTTTACCGTGTATATATGTCGCAAACAAGTCTGTCTAACTTCATTACTGCAGGGCACATACCCGGCAGAGACAGTGGTATGGGTTCTGGTTATGTTACTTCCGTGGTTCATATGAAACTGCGATGCTGCATTGTCTTGTTGTCCTCATAAACCCTAGACGTCTATGGTAAATCCGTGTTATTGTTGGTTACTCGTCATTCACTTCACACAAAGAGCAGAAGCAACACTTGCTGTTGCGGTTAGAGACGTGGAGGAGGCATATCTTGTGTTGTGTCAGGTGTGTTGAGGTTCAAATTCACTTATCCATCACGGTCAAGCGCCTTTTAACTCCACGGCAAAACATATCATCAACCATTGTCTCAAGCCTGAGCTTACATGCCGTGGTGGGACCTTCCCGCTCAACCTGTGCTATCCTCTGCATCCACGATCCATGAATTGAATCCTGCTTGTGCATTTGATTGCTAGAGCTCCACCTTGTCAATCCCTACCTTTGCTTTTGTATTTCATCTTCTTTGGATATCCCTGGCCCGATCGTTCATATGCATTCTCCTCAATCTCACTAAGCATCCCCATAGTCGAAAAACTTTTCGAAAAGTTTGCTGTTACACTTCATGGGGTCTTGGTCTTTTCTCACGGAGTTTCTGAATATGTAACGGAACAAATTTTCCTTCATTGCGGACAAGGTAAGGGTCGATCCAATCGGGAGGTCGGCAGAAGTGTCCCTTGAGCGGGAATGCAGAGACGAGGAAAGCTGACAGGGGGAAGTCATGCCTCGAGAACACCTGACTGACTTCTTCTGCCACATTCCCGTTCGCAAAGTACTTGTCCGGAAATTGTCTCAACTTCCACGCAAAGAGGTCCATGACGAATCTGAAAAGCGCACTTCCACGGCGCACATTCTCCAACACCCAAGAAAGCTCGTCGAAGCGGAAACGAAATGGCTCACGCCAGAGCCCCGCGAGATCTTCGATGAGCTGATCCTGCCACTGGGGAACGCCGTATTTGTCTCCTAGTATCCAGCATTTCATGATCATGAGATGGTTGTTATGCGAGTGATGCTTGACTGCGCGTTGATAAATCCAGACCGCGAATTCACCGAAGATTTTAGGGCTATCATCTGGCAAGGAGACTTCGTTTGTCTGCGACTCGGCCATACTAGAAGCTAACATTTTGTTGAAGAACACGGAGTCTGCAGTCAATCTGTCCTTGTGGATTCTGAACGTTGTCTTCTCCTTGCCGACTGATATCGTGATGATAGGGGAGTTGGTAAAGCTATGCTTGAGTTAGGGCTGTCAAAAAGGACCTGCGAGCTGAAACTAACTTTTGTATTTCACCTCCTCCCAAAGTCGCTGTCGAGGAAGCCTGGCCTTGAGTAGAGAGTGCGTCCGAGTCGTGAGTGTCCATGATGGCGGAAGAGGAAGCCTGACCCTGAATAGAGGGAGAGTCTGTGTCGTCCATATCCATGACAGCTGTACAGCTGAGACTGGAATATTGTAGGCGAAACTGAGTTGAGGGTGGGAGAAGAAGAAGAAAGAAGGAAGAGGAGGAGGAGGAGGATGGAATGAATCCAGTACTCAAGGAGGCGGAAAACTTGAGGAAGCCACGACCCAAGTACCTCGTAAAATAGTAAAGAGTGGCATTCTTCACTGCGCGCTTCACTTACTTTATTCACTGTCGATTCAACATTCACTGCCTCATCAATACTCGCAGCTCAACCCAATTCAACCATTATCAACCCATTCACACCGTTTGTAAAACAGCTTGGCAGGGATAAATGGGGCAATGACATCCCGCTTTCTATTGAGGAAATCCAGCTCTCAACGAGTAGACAAGCACAGTTGCCGTGGTGTTCTTGTCCCTCATAGTCCAATATGTGATGTATGTCCCTTGCATTAGCCCCCTGAGATGTCACGGAGCCCCTTCCGTAAACAGCAGGACTCGTTTTTGCCATATTCAACTGGATTGTTTGAGTTTCTTGGTCCCAGGTCCATGCTATTGAGCTTCTTCTCACTTGTGCGGACTTCAAAGTTTGAGCACGGTCCTGGTTCCGAAGCTGTCCCATCCACTCCGACCTCTTTTCAACAGATTGACTTTTTCTTTCGTCTTTACCACACGCAAGTCTGGCCTTCGGCGTGAACGTGATAATAGCACCGATCAAAGTCTTTTGGATCTGTTCCTCCTCTTTTCAAATTGTTTGTGGCCCAGAACAACTCGAAGCCGATCTCGGGATTGCCTAGTAAGTCCTTGAGCGCCCTCGCATAACTGTCGGCACTCGGAGACTCCACCTCATCCTCGTCACAAGCATATCTGTACATCGAGGACGAATGTACCAGGCCATAGCATAGATAATCGCAAACAAGTTGTCGGAGAGCGGTCACATCGGCGCTATTCTCGACCAGCCATAAAAAGGTGCGAGGGTGAACTAAATCCCATGCCCAGAAGATTCGAAGCTCATCAGAAAGAGCATTCTGGAACTTTGGTATGTAATACTTGTCACCAAGTGTCCACGCCTGAACGGCTGACATCGCATCCTTTTCGTTACGGATGGCTGGGACGCTGCGGTTGTAAACCCAACCGACCAGAAATCTGAAAGCCCTACATGGATCGTCTGGGAGGACGAGCTCGTTGTTTTGCCGTTCCATCATCCCCGCCGAAAGGCAAGCTTTGAAGAAGGGGCTCACTTCGGCCATGTGCCTCTTGTGGACGTAAAACTCTTGGGTTAGCGATCCAACAACCACCTTGACGACTGGGCTTGTGTAAATGCTGGAAAACTTAGCGGCCTCCAAAAAGTGAGAGGAACAAGGACTCACTTATCGACCTCAAAGTCCTCGTCCAGTGTCCCACCCTCTCTGCTCCCAGTCTCTTGCATCCTCGATCCTATTGATCGTGGCGTTAATATAACTCGCCTTTCGAGCACTGCATCGTGTGAGAATTTTAGCTTACCTCTTCGTCCGAGTCCTGAGGCAGATCAACACGTGTGGTTGTTGAATCGAGGGCAGATCTCGCAGTTTCTGCTGCCTGCCAATTTCGAGGTGGTGTAAGGAAAGAAAGGTGAAAGGTGAAAGGTGAAAGGTGAAAGGTGAAAGGTGAAAGGTGAAAGGTGAAAGGTGAAAGGTGAAAGGTGAAAGGTGAAAGGTGAAAGGTGAAAGGTGAAAGGTGAAAGGTGAAAGGTGAGAGGTAATCGAAGTTAACGATTTTATGTGAGCCTTTACTCGTGCCCTTGAGTAGCAAGTTGAATATAGCTGGCCCCTGGTGAAAGAGACGTGAAATGCAGCAAAGGAAAGCAGAAGTCAGGGCATGAAAGTGTCGGGAGCATAACAAAGTGGACGGCTCTTAATATCTCATATATGAGCGGCCTCCGGCAAACATGCTTGAGAGAAATCGCTTTCAAAGTAGGGACAGAGTCTGTTTCGACGTTAGCGAAGTAGCTGGATATTCTGCTCAGTGAATACCGTGAGGTCTGTAGTTCATACACCAGTCACTCGTGTAGATTAAAAGGTCGAAGATTGCATTGAATACAATAATGGCTCCTTCTCGAAGATACCTCGAAGCGGTTTTCGGGCCGTACATTATCATCAGGCCGCGTTATGGCGGCAAACGCCCTGAGTTCCGTCAACTTGAGGTCAAATTCCCATTTCGCGCTCTACCCCAGACGACCACATCCGCTATACCACGCACTGTTCATTCTGACCCTATAGAAATTGATTCATCTGCAGCGGCTGGCCCCACAATACGGAGCCAACACTTTTCGTCATATCGTCGGGTGGTACAAACCACTGCCCTGGAGGGCTAGTGGCAGGCATAGGAGCAAATCCTATCAGTTTCTGGTTTCCTGGTATCTCATTGTATCTCCGCCTGTGTGGTTCGTTGCCCAGCTGCTTCAAAGTCAGACTTGTCGGAATTTTCATGTACTTTGGTATGTCGCAGTCGAATTCAGGGTAGTTGCCAAACATGTCTTTGTCAAAGGTGAAGGACGTGAGGTCATTGAGATGACGCCGGAATAAGTCTGACAATTGATATCTATTCGTCGATCGATTGTGTACATAACAGTCGCGGAGATCGTACGGCCACACGAAGCGGAAGTGTTGAGCCAAGAGTGCCCAGAACCTGTTCGAACAGTATTTGTGGTAGTGATAGACAAATCGCTCACGAATTCCCGGCCTAGGAGATAAGAGGTCAGACCATGTTGGTGTGGAAGGCAGACTTGAAGGGTTGTCTCGGTCTTCACCTACCAAACGAAGAAGTCGATGGCATATGCATGTTTCTGAGCCACTTGCGACGGTCTGTTGTTGGTCAGCGTCGTCTTTACCAGCAGGAAGAAAGAGGTTGAAGCGGGAATGAGTGTTACCTTGGCCTATACCAGGCAGGGAGGTTGGACTGATTTTTCTCCGAAGGATTGAGGTGGCACTGTACTCTGAAGTCAGATACACCGGTAACCACATTTTGGGGCGACAGCCATACCTGGAGCAGTAAATGCATAATGCAGAGGACGGCCAGGCGATCGACGTCGCGGGAGTTGGCCCATACTTTCTCGTCGACTTCCCGTAAAATGCGCCACGAAGCAGTCAAATTGACCAGGCTAGGTTCAGTCCAGCCTTCGATAACAGCGCGCACGGCGATATCGTCGGCAGTGGTGTCGTCATTCTGAAGCTTAGGCCAGTTGTGCGTCTTCCAATCCATCAACGTCTCGCTCACAAACGCCCACATGTTTGACTGCTTGTGTGGATGAATATGGTGTGAGCACGTGCACGAGGACCCACTTTCGGGAAACGAAAGAGGCATCGAAGTGGTGGCGGTCGCGGTTGTGGTGATTGTGTTACAGCTGTGGGGGCCGGACATTCCATCCATCTCAAGTGGTGTTGGCCCTAACCCCATCGGATTGAAAGTTTGCTCATCGAACATGGCATCCGGAAAGTTTAAATTGAGGCTATCATCGAGGGCAAAGCCGAATTCAGCCTCACCGTGGACGTTGCACGCAGGTCCACGCGATTGACGGCCAGCGTCGTTGCTGGATTCTACCTGGAGGTCGTTCACGGCCACCGGAGGTGATCTAGGCTGGTTGAACAGTGTAAAAGATGGGGAGGAGTCGGCTCGTTCTGGTGAGCTTTTTGTTAGTTGTCTGGTCAATATCCCCCGAGCTGCTGCTGGTTGCAACCTACCCTTCCCCTCCACGTCGTGACGTTCATCCGACTCTTCCTCCAGGTTGATCTGAGCTAGGGAATATATCGTCGCGAGTTTGCGTTTGAGTGACCGACATTCAGTCCGCGCGCTCTCGAGCTGCTCCCTCAGCTCTCTGCAGATTTCATTGCCGGACTGGCTCGTCAGATGTGCTACCAGAGACTCTAACTCGGCGATTTTGTTCTTCGTGCGGGCTCGGGCCTGGCGCTGACAGTGTCGGTCGGCGACTCGTTTCTTGTCACGTCGTTTGTCGCTGATCTGCTTGGGCTTGCGGACTGATAGCGGCGGACCTGGCGACAGCTGCAGGGGCAGCATGATCTCGCTGGTCATGGTCTCCATCACTGACTGAGGCTGTATTGACAAGAATGCTTTCTCTTCTGATATCTCAATAGTGAGAGCGTCCTGACAATGGGATACTAGATGAAGCTAGGATTTAGCACACGGGGGGAATTCTGGAGAAGTCGGAAGAAGGACGCGGGGCGGTCAAGGCTTGGCTCGTAACCCTCGGCACATGCCATCATGACCATCTTGACCATCTTGACCCTCCATCACGGATCCCCATCAAAACTCCCTCACCTCGGCCAGGTGTCATCTAAACCCAAAGCGATGTTACAAAAGCCCCCCTGCGAAAGGAAGCGAAATTTCTTAACGGGGCGAAACCTGCGGCTCGACTCTTTTGGAATGAGGCGACTAGTCAGAATGGTACTAGACTACGAAGGAGGACCGTTGTGCGAGACACAAAAGATCATTTGAACAGTGTTGATCCCGCTTACCTGGGGACGCAGCGAGGCAATTATTGGGTGCCTTGCAGGAGGCGTCTGGGAGGGGCGTTTCGGGGCATTGTGATGGCTGTGGGGTGGTGATAAGGACCCAGATAGCTAGAGTGTGGGCATCCTTATAGGGAGGCTTATAGGCGCCATTCCAGGCACCCACCTGGGGCGTCAATGGCTGCACCACGCTTACAGGGAGGTTTTCTTCTGGGGGCTTTTACATTCAGTTTTCAGTCTGGATTCTCTCTTAGTAGGTACCTTGGTAGGTAGTCAATTGCCTTTAGCAGTAATTGACACCCTACGTGACATTTCTCACTGGTCTAGGCGTTGACGGGTGGGACAATGAATGACACCACGACTACCTTGTAGTGCCCCGGGCCCTTCTGGCTGGTGGGTGGCTGGTGCTGCTCGTGGTTCTGTGGCACTTAGGTTACAGCTTCTCGATCCGCGCAACATACTCGAAGCGTTCCGTTGCAGGCATTCCCCACTCCTTTGCCAATTCATGGTATCTGTTCTTGTACCCGAGATGTTTCGACCTGACTTCAGCCGCAGTCTTCAGCTGATCTCGCCCAACTTGGTGCTTGTGAGCAGCATCTGGCCCATCTGCAATCCGAGCGAATCTGGCGTACGTCCACTGCCCAAATCGTTAGCTCGAGTCGAGACCGCTCCTCGCCAAGTGTGTCATGAGTTGTTGGGGAGTATGAGGGGGGAAATCGCCCATTCTAGACAAGAGAGAGGGGAGGGTGGCCTTACAGCTTCAGGGAGGAATGTGTGCTGTGTGAGTCCTTGTCCAGCGAACATTTGCATGCACTCATCCACAATCTTGGTCACGCCTAGAGGCACCATGATCTTCGCCTGGGCAATGGCGTATCTTCCTGCGACGTTGCCCATGAGATCCATGGTCTCTGCGGCGTTCAGAACAACCAGGCGAAGAGCGTCGATCTCCATGCGCATGTCGGCAAGCCGCTCGATATTGCTGTCGAACTCACCAATCAATTTACCCCGGGGCTTCTTTCTTACATCCGTAGCTCTGATGAGTGCATGTTCATATGCGCGCTCAGCTTGACCAAGCAGGCGCATGCTTCGATAGCATTAGTTTAAATGCAGCATGCACTTGGAGGCCAACTCACCAATGGTGTATTCTCCCTGGCCCAAGTCGACCTTGAGCGATTTCGAATGCTCGCCCTTCTCCCAAGATGATGTTTTCCGCGGGGATCCTCACATTCTCATACACATACTCACCATGTCCCTCTGGGGCACAGTCATAGCCCATGATTGTCATGTACCGGACTGCCTTCAGTCCTGGGGTGTCCCTGGGCACAATCACGGTCGAATGGCGCTTCCACGGATCCGGATTGTCTGGATCAGAGCACCCCATTAGGATGTAGAACCTGACATCCTCATTTCCAATCCAGTTCCCATACAACTTCCGACCGTTGATCACGTACTCGTTGCCTTCACGTCGAATACGGCACGAAATGTTCGTTGCGTCCGAGGCAGCAACATCAGGTTCTGTCATCGAGTAGGCAGACAAGCACTCTCCGTCCAAGAGAGGCTGCATCCATTTCTTCTTCTGCTCCTCCGTGCAGTATTTGGCCAAAAGCTCGATGTTGCCGGTGTCTGGCGCATGGCAGTTGAGTGTCTGGACACTCTGTTAGTACCCATCCTGATCCCTCGAACGCCTTGGTCCCTACCATTGGAGCCCAGTAAACTCGGCCAAGAAGTTCACAGCAGCACGAATACTCCAGAATCGTGAGTCCCGGGCTTTCCTTGAAGTGGTTCGGTAGGAAGAGATTGAACAAGCCTTGTGCCTTTGCCTTCTTTCTCAGCTCCTTGATGTAGGGCGGCATCGCCCACCGGTTCTCCTCCAGTTGCGCCTTGACAATGTGGTCTGCCGGAATGCACTCATTTTCAACCCAAT